TTCCACTTCCATGTTAGTGAGTCAGAGTGTTAAAAGAATCTGTCTGTGGTTGACTATATCTCGATCTCCTGGTCTGTCCGTGCACATTCCAAACGACACCGAACACCGCCCACCACCCGTTTGGAGCGACCGCCCACTGAGTGCTCGAACGCCCGCTGTTGGGACCCAGGAACCTGCGCGCGTTTCGGGTCGGTTTACTGTTGCAAGAACACGACACCCCGTGAAATGAACGTCCAAAAGAATTCAAAAGCAGAGTCCAGGGACCCTTTCAGAAAGCCGATTTCACTCCGAACTTCATGAATGAGAAAGATATTGAGAGGGCACGCCCTGCCTTCACACATCCCTACAATCCCATACAAGCCTACAAAAAGACTTTGACTGAATAAGCTCTCATGAACTCAATACTCCGACAAAGCACCCACAGGTTATCAAGTCATATTGATCCCAGCCCCACTCACCAGCCGCTCTCAGACTCCCAAGCAAGACCTTGAGCTGCGAGTCCTGTGAGCACACCCAATACCAACGGCGGAGGGAAAGGAAGGGGAGGTTCTCCAGACTCCAACAATAGCTGGTTCCTTGTGTGCTACATGCAACAACATTCTAACTCTGACGGTCCAACACTCACTCACAACCAGCTCGTGAGTTCCAGCTACTTCTCCGGCCAGTTCAGTTGGCGGCGATGAACCGCATGTCTGGAAAAAGTGGGTGAACTGAGCCAAAGAGAACAGGGAAAACAAGAAAACAAGCAGCACGGTAACACGCTGACAAACCGGCCAAATCCCCCCTCATCTGACACAGGCCATCCCATCAGAATCCACACACCGAACAGCTGTAGAATGCTTACTTTTTCCATTCAAACGTGCAAAACAAAAACTCGACGCGAACATTGAAAAGGGTTGTTTACCGCTTGAACATTCCTCACCATCCTCAAATGCATGTTAGTCATCCGCAGGAACGGGTGGTTTCTTTCCTGCACCCCTTCAGGCCACAATTGACTCCTCCCAGTGACGGCTGTCCTGCTTGGGTTTGTCCCTCCCTCTGCTTCCAGAGCCTTCATGACCAAACCCAAACGATTCGAGACCCCGCACATGAAGTTCAAAAGAACAAGCTAAAACCATCATCATCACTGTTGTTTTTCTTATTTTTGCTCAAATCCCTATTGTTCAGCTGCTTCCCCTCCTAAAGCTCGATCACTGTCTTCTGTTCTTTTTTGGTTTCAGCAATCTCTGCGTCTTGCATGTCGCGAGCCGATGAGGAAAAAAAAAAACGCGCAGCACCCGGCCTTTGCCCCGGGGTTCCACCTCCTTCGCTTCCGCCGTGGCCTGAAAAAACAACGTCACGAGTTCGTCACGAGTTCGTGCAAGCACGGCCCCTCCTGACCTTGGCGTAGCACACGTCGCCAAAAAACAATCCCGAGCACTGGGGACCGGGGACATCGGTTCTGGTTTCATTTCGGCTCGTAATGGCCCATTCTGCCGAAGGCAAACATGGATTGCTTGGGAATGTATCAACTGCATCTTATCTTGCACCGTTATTCCATGCGTCGGTGGCCTCTCTTCTTGATGTGTTTTTTTTCGTTTTTGGTTTTCGTTTTTGGTTATGTTCCATTGTTTCTTGCTGGTCCGAATGTGATTAGCGGAGCGTCTGACTCTTTCCCATGCAGTTCGCGAAATCCCCCACAAAAACCATCCACCAGGCCAACCAAACTAAAGGAAATCCCAGCCTGCAAAGAAGCTGGCCTGAGATCGTAAAAAATGCTGGAGGGCCCTAGACAGGGTGGTCGAAAATGACTACATTTTCACAGCTGGACGACGTAGGATCTCAGCAGCTGGTTTTTAGCGAGAAGCATTCGTTGGAATTTGGCCTGCCTTGACGAACACCACTTCGCAACACCCGCAGCTGTGCTGCTTTGATTGGAAATATTGGAAGCAACTCTTTTGGGCGAATCCGCTAATCTGCATCTCTCAATTCTGGTTCACGTTTCCAGCTGCAGCCGCCCTGCATCCCATCTCAGCACATCTGATTTTTGAACCCCCTCCACCGTTCTATGGTTGATTGTGCGCTCCTTCCACCTTCACAGCATTCCCCTCGCCGAGCGAGGACTGCAAATGCAATAAAAGGTGGTGACCCGATTGATGTGATACACATCTTCACCCACATCAAAACATCCAACAGGCTGTGTGTACATATGGTGCGTGCAAATGTTCATTCACACGGCATGTGGAGAGCAACCACATATGGTCCCAAACCTACCCACCTGCCACCTGCGAAAGAAACAAATTTCTCAAATGTGGCGCATTTGTTTGAATGACCAATTCCATACATGTTGGGTTGAACTGCATTGTTTCCACCTCACAACCCTCGAGACCCCGTCGAAACTCAGAATTTTCATTCCTAACCGGTCCAAGCTGCTCGCTGGCATCCCTCTTCTTTGTGGGCCGGCTGCGGCTTCCACCCTTCGGTTTCCCCTGGCATCTGGGCATGAGCAGTGCCAAACTGACAATGTGGATGCACTTTTGCAACGTAGGCCATTGCACTTCACATTCCACGGAAATATGGAAAACCAAACGCCCAACGCAACTGCATTCTCTGTTACATTATATGTAGAATATGCCAATAAACTATAAATATATTAATGTTTCATTGTTTCTCACACACACACACACCCCGGCCGCCAACCGAAGTTCCGAGCCTCTGGCCTGGCACCTTGACAGGCACACGACGCAAAAACAAACAGTGAACCTTCGGCTTGGTTGAACGGGAATAACCCATATGATATGATATGATATGAAAAGTATGCCCTCCACCTGTCAACCGCAAAACGACTTCTGGACCTAATCGAACATAGACCCATGGTCCAACCTGCGACGGTCGCATCGCCATCTTTGCCCTTCCGGGTCCTCGCCGGGCGCAACAACGGGGCGACGCCAAACGCTACACGTACTGCAGGGCTTGGCAAGATACACGCGCAGAAAAATCAAGGAAAACCACACCAATCCCAACGGCCAACACCCAAACAGAAACTCAAATCGCAGTACTCAACGCAAGGAAAGAATACCAGTGGCTGAACCCTTCGCCGTCCTGGAGCCCGGTCTCGCCGGCGCTGAGGATCCCTCTGTCATCGGCGAGGCCGGTGATGCCTGCCCCTCTGAGGCTGGCAACATGGCCCGGGCGTGAGCTTGGCTCCGCGTGGGTGGGGTGAGAGGATCTTCGTTCGGAGTGGAGTGTTGCCCCTGGAGTCGGGCTGTGTGGAACAAGGGTGATGGGAAAACGTCTGACGATACTGTACCAACTGTCTGGTGATGCTTGATGAAACGTCTCCGTGTGTCTCTGTGTCTTGGTGGCACTCTGGGCGCACACAAGACTCTTGCCGTCACCAAATTACCAAATTCACAGAGCCGGTCGCTAACTGATGTACTCCCATGTGGTGTGACCCATGCGAATTGTCCTGGCATCACAACTGAAAAGACCTTGCTCCAGTGGAAGTAATTAACGGCCTATGAAGCAACACCAACATCGAGTAGCAACCGATCTGATCCATTTTGACTGCAACGCGACGTGTCGTCAAGCCTCGCAGCGCTAAAAAAAAAAAACATCCTTTGCATTCCCGCCCTCAGCGCTTTCCGTTACTTTCTGCGCTCGTTGTTATATAATTACTGGTTTACGATGAGATCTACAAGTCAGATCGATGCAGCGAAAAAAATCTCACCCAGCTGCACACCGAAGAACAAGATCTGGTCTTTGCATCGCGCCGCATCGCTCGGCATCTGAGACAGTTCACACCATACTCCGTCCAAGCGTTCAAAAGCCGTAGATGTCCAAGATGCCAATTTCTGAACTCCAGGGTGCCACTGCCTGACACAGGAAACACATTCAGAATCCAAGAAGCTCCTTCTGTGGAGGGTCACAAGTTAGCTAGCTCGAGTGGTTTGGGGATGAGGTCCCAAGCTCCTTACGACACTCTATGGAAATGAATTTGGAGTAGAACTTGATAGAACTGGGGGAAGTTCGTGTGTAAGGTCAGGGGAAAACAGTTCCTATCCAACCTCACCCTCCCCTTTGGCCGCACATGAAACGGGGATGCCACCAGCAAGATGGAGGCTCTTCAGCTGTCACTCCTGCGGTGCCCAAGACTTGTCGGAGAAGATTGGTGTTTTTGGTACCCTCTAACCGTGACACAAGAACAATGGGTGGCCCCAGCCATGGACACTGCGGGCGCATGCGGGCGCTTTCCATATAGATTTTCTAGTGCACGGCTCCATGTTCGGCGCAGCTTTGAGTATAACTGCCATTGATTTGGGCACAACTCCTTGAACTCACGACGCCACTGAGGCACCTCCTCGCATGCAGGCTGAGCCGGCAAGAGAACTCAATGACGAAAAAAGAACTGACTGCTTGGCACACCTGCTACGCATCAAGTGCCTGAAGTAAGCATGTCTAGAGGTAGGGCGGGAGGAGGCCTGGCTCTTGGATCTGCTGGAGGTGTGAACTCCATGACCTGGCGAGAACGACTTCTACAAGCCATCTAATAGAAAGTAAAATTCATCCTACCCACGAATCCTTTTCCCATGGCCGGTTGGTTGCATTAGCTCATTAGCTTGGTCTGCTCAGAAACCTGTACAAATTGACAAAATGCTTGCAAAAACGGGAACGTTGGCGAGACCTCCTACTGCTCTTGAGTGCTATTCTTCGGACAGACCTACAGTCTAGTCACTAGTCTAGCTGGATGGATGCGGTGAATGCAACCACTCAACCATTCGGACGCGAAGCAACTTGCAGTAGTTGAGAAGAAAGTGCGTTCCACTCAGGAGCAAAATCTCGCAGTATTTACATCGCGCATTGCTTCTGCTTGAGGACCTTAGCTGCCTTCAAAATAGCCTTGGTTGTGAACTATTGGCACACAAAATTGGGAACAGCAAAAACAGAGAAACACTGGGGCTGCCTATACAAGTCAAAAGCTGAATCTGCATACCATTGGATCACAGCCCACACTTTCTACAACAGGCGAAACTGATCCTCAACCAGTGGCACTGCGTCCCAGGTTGCGTGCAATCTTTCGGCCTGAAAGTTTGAAGGCACAAGTCTGGCTGCACGCAGCCTCCCCACAAAGCCACCTCTCAGAAGAGTACATCGAATGCTATGCTCAGAAAACCACACCATCAAATGGATCTTCCAGAAGTTGCAGGCCCTCTCTGCAACGACTCTCAGAAGGTGGTATTTGGCCATCAACTCTTCATCATAGTGGCTAGTGCAAAGCCAGGCCAGCACCACGAACATCCAACACAGGGAGACACAAAGTAACTGGTGTGATTTGTTCGCAACTGGTCCCTCTGACCCTCTAGACTTGGCAAATCCACTGAGGGCCAACACTGCTGCAGTGAAGACATGGAACGCATAGAAAAGCATTTCCTGTTTGCCGGCATGCTCTTCACTGATGAGTCCAATCGCACGAGACCACATCCATACTAAAAGTTGCCCAACGAGTGCGGTCCACAGAAAGAAGGATGTAAAGTTTGGAACAAACTCTCCACGAGTCCACTCTGAGACACCCTGGAACTGAGCATGGATCAACCCCCCCATGGAGATTGAAGCTGCAATGAATGCAAAGTTGAGAATGCCATAAGCATAGGCCATCAAAGTGACATGTGACATATATGGGGCCTGCAGCCTAAATGGAAGGGAAGTCACCACATTGACGACTGAAACCAGAACAACACACGCGTCCAGTGGGGTTGCTCCATCCCGATGCACGAACCCCAACAACCTGGACCAAGACTTTCGGGACATGGCCAAAGCCAAGCCAATCTTGGCCCACAATCGTACTGTGTGGGATCCCGGAAAACATGGCCGTAGATGTCCCGATGGTGGCAATCGGTGCAAAAGCAGGAATTCCCAGGGCAAGACTCGCCACGTGCAACTTTCTCAGCTCCTGCGAAAATATGGCAGAAGAACAAGCCGAAGAAAACAAACACCACCAGCAAGGCCGTTGCAAATCCAGCAAGACGAGCAAGTAGAATTCGAGCCCAATGTGGTAAACATTGTGCTTCGTGCTCGTCAGCCCCACGCTGGGGTTGAGCAGGAGATAGTTTTCGAATCTTTGAGAAAATCGTCCCTGATCGCTGGTTCACCCAAGGCCTCTGACGGCCACGAGAGGCTTTGTGCACTGCATCCACTGCATGTTCACATGCATCCCTGATGCTGGTGTTGTCTTGCCGCAAAGCTCTCACAAGAGCTGAAGAAAGACTATCAGAATCCGAAGCCCACCCGCCAGGATCACATGCTAACAGGAAGAGGAAAAAGGGAGTGAGTTTGCTGTTGAGAGAGCGCGGGCCACGGTTCCCTGCAGCTGGATTGATTGGGTTATAATCCCAATGCCTCTGCCAAGTGGTGACTGGCCCCGATCGGCAAGTATCCAAAATAATCCAAATGCAGCAGGTGCGCTGGTTTTGCTTTGGAGGTAGGACCTGCGCAAGTTCGTTCAGCAAGAGCCTGTCCAGGTCAATCAACAAGTCGATCTCGGAGCTGCAAGTGAGGTCTGCTGGCACGATCAATGGCAATTCTTTGCCATGTGCATGGATGCCATGGGATGCCACAAAGAGTGCCACTAGCAACGGCTCCGCCATCTTTGTCTCGGCCTCTTGCATTTGGAGCTTTGTCCGAAGAACGAAATCAGACACAAGTTTCAGAGTCCTTTGCCTCGTCAAAGGTTCTTTGGTTTCAAATGTTACATTGCAACATCCCAAGTCTCTGAACACTGATGCCATGTTTTCAGCGTCAGTAGCGGCTTTCGGTAGGCACTGATCGTGCTGATACTCGCCAATGCCCAAACATAAAGCTTCTGCAAAGTTGCAATTTAGGGCCGCCATTATATGGGCGGTCGGTGTGCCGCTAATTACGACACCTTAGCTCCTGCTCAGGCAATCGTCTTGAGCCAAGCTTTGCCTGCGGCTCTGGGTCGCAAAACACCCTCCGCATGCACGCTCAAAACTAGGGCATTCTGTCATCCACGTCATCCCTTCAAAGCTCAGAATCAGACCGCAGAACGGCACCCAAACGCTTCCGTGACCAGGCAGGCGAAGGCGAGCTACTCTCCATCCAGCCAGCCAAGCGCCTGCCACGCAGCACCCGAAAACAAACAGCTCAAAGCAAACCCTTCGAGAAGCCGTAGAGAAACAAATCACAATCAAAATCCGGTGAAATTGTAAAATGCGCCGGAATCACATCTCGTGGCTGGCGCGCCCCGTGCAATCCTGTGGGCGGAGCAACACTCTGCCAAAATCTTGGGCTTGTGGTGACTTGACATTGCACTCCTGGCTTGAATGATATTCTCAAGGCCTGCCGCTTCCCTTCTCTCCACAAACTCGAACTTATTCAAATCTGTTTCCGAAGCAATAGTCCTGAGGTGGACAAATTCTCACGAAGCGTTCATCAAAACTTCACACAACATCACTTCGATGACCTACAAAGTTCATGAACAACTGACGACGCCATCTTGTTCTGTCAAGACCCCTGCTCTTCCCAAACGTGTTGTCAAAAGGAGCTCAGTACCTTGATGAAACGTTCAGATTTGCAAAGGCCAAGTCTTCTTCTGTCAGTGGGATCACTTCATCGTTCACACCCTCGTTGTCACTGTTCTCCATCAAACCTTCAGCCAACTGGAGCTCCCGCGGTAGAAAATAGACATGGCAGAAATTCCAAGCTAGGTGTTTGACTTCTTCAGTTGGGAAGCCAAAGCGCAGCACACGGGCGCGTACGGCGTAGGGTATGGCGCCAGCTGGTCATGGAAGTCGTCCGCATGCTTTGAACTGTGGGGACTTGCTGCGAGGCGTCGATTTGGTCATTGAGTCATTGACCCACGGGAAAAACAAACACAAGAAATTAGGCTAGCCTTCTGTGGCCCGCAATAGCACACGGAGACCAAAGGTTCAAAAAGCGTTTTTTGTAAGTAGACAGCGTGTTGCCGTAAAACAGTGAAATCAACGACCTCAACGTGCTTTAGATGCACTTGCAAGGGACCTTCCGCATTCTAAATCTATGACATTAGCATGTTAAGGTGAAGCTTCAATCTGAACGTTCATGTTTCGTGCAATGCCCCATAGAGCACTGTGAGGCTAATTTGCCCTTCAAAAAACCTGCAGCTTGGCACTGGAACACTGCGTAAATCCATGCGGCCGCCTGGCAATAAAAGCCTCACACACCAAGCAAACATGCAAAAAGGCCAACCGGGGCATCTACAGTGAAACTGTAGTTCTCGTCCAGCACCCACGCGATTGGTGTGGCAAAAAGCTCGGCACCAAGGTGCCAGTCTCGGTTAGCTAAAGGCTAGAGTCCGATCTCAAACCTGCAGTGCTCAACTTGCAATCTCAAAAGTTGCTACCTCTGAGCAGCATCATCCCTCTGAATGTTGTGCCAAGGCCTGTTGGCATAAGCGATGCAAAAATGCTTATGAGAGCAGTGTAGCTGTGGTTGCCACGTCCCAGACCTGCATGCTGCATGTTGTTTATTTGCGAGCTCTCTTTTTTATCGCCGACGGCAGCCACATCTGGCGAATTCGCTGGTCAATCAAAACACGAAGTTCTAACACAAACTCAGCTACTGGCGTATTCAACCTGATCAAGTTATCCACACCAGGATTGCTGTTGACCTCCATCACTACAAAGCTTCCATTGGCTAGTTGCAGTATATCAACTGCCCCACTTACCTGAAGTGTCTTCGAAGCAGAAGCTGCCAACTCTTCAACTTTCGGTTCCTCGCCAAGCGACACCTGGCTGACTTCACAGCCATATGCCAGGTTGAGCTTCCATGTCAAAGGAACTTGTTCACATTTCTCTGGGATGTCGCTTGCATTTCTGAGTTCTTTCTTGAGTTTGTCCTTGTATCGAAACGCCCCCACGCGTTTTTCACAGTATTCATCCAGCAACTGGTTCACGGTCTTGTCGCCATCTCCGACAACATATGGAAACTCTTTTGCATAGATCGCGGCCACTACACCACCATTTGTGAAAACCCGGAACTCTTTGACCACCTCCTTGATGAATGGAGACACGCAAGGGTTGTGTAGCTCCAACAGTGCATCGCTGACCTTCAGCGGTTCGTAGCAAAGGCGGCAACTGATCCCACCACTTCCGTACCGGCCTTTGATGACCACCCTCCCTTGTGGATCGCCTTCTTGAAGGCTCTCGATTTCCGCCAAGGCAGCGTCAAAATCTTCTTCAAGAAGCGGTTCTTTGTGAGGCACCACAGGAAGTCCCGCCTTTTCCAGCAAATTGGCTGTCCGGACTTTGTCTGAGGTCACGTCACTTGTGGCTGGAGTATTGAGGCTACCATGTTGTTTGAGGTTTCTTTGCATACTCATTCCCGATATATCTTTGAAAAACTGCACGAATCCCTGAGACAAGAGTGTCAAATCCATGTTGTGTTTCTTTGCAATTCCCTTGAGGATTGCCACCTGGTTTCTGGACTTTTCTTCATACGTCCGCTCCTTTTGGCTTTCTACTTCGGCATTCATGGGTTGTTGCTTGTCATATGTCATCTTCTGGACTTCCTTCTGGGTGACTTCACCTGCCAAACGATACATCTCTTCGTTGATTTGCAGCGCCACCCTAATCTGGTCTGCAATCGTCTTGTTAAAAGTTTCTTCAGGCAAGATGTCCATGAGGTCCGTGAGAACGTACTCATTCATCTCCACAATGCGGGCGTCACCTTCCTCAGACACAAGAATGTCAACAGATCCGATGCCTAGTGTCACTTCACGCGCTGCTTTAAGAGCTAGTTGCGTCAAGCTTTCCCAGCCATCAGCAAGCAAATCCATAGGAACCGCTGCACCACCTTGCACCTGGTTGAATTTCCAGTAGACAGCAACATCTGTGCCCTCCCCAGGTATCATGTCCAGCATGCCTTGACACTGCATGTGCTTCTTGAATTCCTCTCGCATGTGTTCAATGCCAGCGTTCATGTCCATGGAATCAATCAATTCCAAAATGGTGCTGCTGCCATCACCTGTGACTTTGGGAAGCGTCTTTTTCACCACTCCAAGAACAACTGGTTCCACCTTCAACCCAGTAGCATTGTTCCGGACACGGGTGCCCACGATGACACGGACTTCCGATGATGCATTGAAGTATGGCTGGAACAATAAGGCGAACTGCTGTGGTTTTCCGGCCAAATCCTTGCAATTTTTGAAAAGTTCTTCTTTGGTCCGAGCTAGTTTCACATCGTTGCCACCGCTTCCGCGAACCGGCTTCACCACCATTGGCAATCCAAATTGGCCTATGGTTTCTTCAGCTAAGTCCCGCCATGGCAGCCTGTTCTTCATAGATTTTGCCTCCTGGGTGGCCCAAAGTATGCTTTCCAAAAAAGGAAAGCCCGCCAGCTTTAGGATCTCCTCGCACATTTTCTTGTCTTTGATTGTGTCAGAAACTAAGTTTGAGTTGGCTGGAGCTGTCATCCCCTTGGTGGCATAGGAACCGCAAAATAGAGTGCGTGATTCACGGTCATATTCCCCTAACGACCTAACACCATTCTCCCACAGCTTCTCGTAGGGAGTGCCACCAGGTGTCTGTGTCAAACGGGAGAAAGCAGGCTTGGTACTGGATCCGCGGTTCCGGGTGGCTAGCGCTGCCACAAGAACACCCATCCAGAGCACAATCATTCGACGGTGTCGCACCCGTCGGGTTTCCGCCATCTCACAAAACTGCGCCAACAGTTGCACTAAAGTGACTATAGTGGCTACAGGCGGGAGGCTCCAAAAATGTCAGCCAAACGGGCCCATCGCCACAAAACTAAGTGGCCTGCCAAACCACGACAACAGAGTATTAAGCACAAAAAGCTACACGACGGATGGCCCGAAAGCGTTTAGGTGTAGAATTGCTCTGGTGTAGGGTACGCTCGCATTACGATGACAAGAGGTAAAGTAAAGAGAGTTGTGAGATGGTGAGAGAGAGACTTGAAGTGGCAACAACCAACCCCAAAAAGCGACACAACAAAACGCAAGACCCTCAACATCGTGCGGCCTTTTCCATCTTGAGCCAAAAGTATAGTGGCAAATGAACCGTGTTCACCATAATGGGAGGGGCGCTATTCACAGGAAAACTTCTTTCAAGCCCCCCCCTCATGGTGAAATGCGCTCGCTGCACAGCTAGGATTCCAGGTCACGAGACAGTTGGTTCTTGGGAAAACCTCCTGTGACCTGACAATTTCATTATCGGTACAAACGAACATCGGGCAAAGGCGCTGTAGGCAAAGCACTACAAGCTACGCTTATTCATCTGACTAATAAGCTTACGCTATGCAAGTTCACGATCGTGGCATCTTAGATGACTTAATCCTTACCTGGCTTATACGAAGGCATGTGGCATACTGCAGCAGTTTCAAAGGGGCAGGCCACTTCTGATTTGGCAGACCCTTCGTGAGGACGTATGTGACTGATGTCGATGTCTTCTGAGCTGTTGACCACTTCAAAGGTTGACGCAACATTGACCCTGGTGTTGATTCCTGCCAAACATGAAGAGCCGGCAGCGCTTCAGAGAACAATGATCAGGACAGGGACACGAATTCACCCGCGACGCAACACTCTGTCTGTTACTTTCCCAGCTTAGCAAGGCGAAGCTTGATGGACCAGTCAAGGCCAACACATAACCTGACGTGGACCTCATGGTTTGAACGTCTCCTGCAAAATCTGCGTCGCAGAATAATGCAACGCTTAGCATTTCTGGAAGATCTTGAATTGACATGATGGGTGCATACTGTATACTCATGAGTGAGCTGCAGGTAACCTATCAAGAAAGCAGTTCTCCGGTCGTGACAGACCATGTGGTGATATGCTTTGCAAGAAGGTCGATGATGAACATTACATCAGGCCGGGAGATCTCGCCAAATCGCTATAGAGTTGGACACATTGCTTAGCAAAGTCCGACGATTCCAAAGCGAGAGCTTTCTTGCTTGACATCCACCCAAACAAGGCGATGATTCCTACCTAACACCCTACCGAACTCAGTTGGAGGATCAAGGTTGCCGTATTCACTTAGCGCACGCCAGAACTCACCATGACTTTAAGCTACCCCTGACAGTGTTAAGTCATCAACGTACACTGACATGATCAAGGCTTGGCCAAAATGCATATGGAACACAGATGGCATGTCACTGTAAATTCTATTCCATTCAATTTCTCACGAAGAATCTTTGACAAATGAGCTTGCCAGTGGGCAGAAGAATTCAGGGTGTTCATGTAGACTCTTTTTGGAGCTGTGCACATGATGAATATGTTTCTTTGATGGCGGAACTCGTTCAGGAGGCAACATGACAAAACCGTTATGTGGAGAAGTCCCAGCAAGCGATAGGGTCGACATGGCTTCATGCGACTCAGCGGAGGTGGAGCTGATGCGTTGACCAGCTCCGCTGACGCGTTGATCAGCTCCGCTACCATGTTTGCGGTAGCAAACGCAGCGGTCCCTTTTCTAAAAGGGCGCTTGGGCCGGGCCACTGTATGGCAGGTTCTCAAAAGCCTGTACTGTCGTGAAGGCATGTGGGATGCACAAAATGTCCAACAGAAAGAGAAAGAGAGAAAGAGGGAAAGAGAATGATTATACCTGCATAAACGATTCGTAAATATTAACAAAAAACCATTCCATTTCCCCCCCCGCAAGATCTTGTTTTATCAATGATATTTGTCGGCATCGACATCGCTACTTGTTCGGCCATAAGAGAAGACAAAACACGAGCAGGACAAGAGGAGGGCAATACCCAGTCACAGAGCCCGGCCACAGAGTTCAGGGGCGCGGCCAGTCAGTGTGTCCATGGTGGCGGGCACGGCCAAAGGACAAAAGGAGGACAAGACCCGGCCACACAACCTGGCCACAAAGTTCATGGCCAAGAGAAGGACCAGAGGAGGAGAAGAAAAGGACAAGAGGAGCTAGAGGAGGACAAAAGCTGTGACACAGAGCCAAGCCACACAGTTCAGGTGCGCGGCCAAGAGAAGAGGAGGGCAAGGCCGGACACACCAAGACAAGGACAACAGGAGGACAAGGGGACAAGGCCCGGACACAGAGCCGGGCCACAAAGCCCAGCCACAGAGTTAAGGGGCGCGGCCAAAACAAGGCCCAGAGGAGGACAAGGCCCGGACACAGAGCCGTACCACACAGCCCAGTCACAGAATGCAGGCCGCGGCCAAGACAAAGAAAAGAGGAGGACAAAGCCCGGACACAGAGCCCAGCCAACAGAGTTCAGGGGCGCGGCCAGTGAGTGTGGCCAGTTTTTTCCCGAGAGCGTCTGATCGAAGGATTTTTGAAAAAGAAGGAGGTGTAAATAGATCTACATATAAAAGATCTTTAAATCTGACATCTTCTCACATCTTCTCACATCACATCTTCTCACATCTTCTCACATCTCACATCTTCTCATATCTTCTCACATCTGACATCTTCTCACATCTCACATCTCTCCTCTTTATTCGTTCTCTCTCAAGGCGGGGGGCAGGCCCGCCAGACCATCACGAACGTCAACCATCTGCGGAGATCGTGCGCGTCGGATGCGCGAAACTGCGAAACTGCGATTGCGCCGGGGTGTGTGCAACCCTCTGCGCGCGCAACCCTGCGGGGATCGTGCGCGTCGGATGCGTGAAGCCTAGGCGAAACTGCGATTGAGCCGGCGCGTGTGCAACCCTCTGCGGAGATCGTGCGTGTCGGATGCGCGGTCGCGCTTCACTTTTGGAGGAAGTCTCGTACGAAACGCTCGTTTTGGAGACTTGACGCTGCGCAGCCCTCTGCGGGGATCGCGCGTGTCGGATGCGCGAAACCTACTTGGTGGTTCCTTCTTGGTTATGGAACTTATAAACTATTTGTAACCTAGCTGTAACATATTTGTAACCTACTTTTAAGTTGGGTAAGTTCTGTAAGTTCTTAAGTTAATTTATGCAACTTATAGTATATTTACAAAACTAAGGCAAATTAGTATCTAGTATAAGTTGTTCTTGCAAAAGCATTGAAAATATCTTAGAAACAACTTAGAAAACTTAACTTTTTTGATGTCAAGAATCTATACTTTTTCAATATTGCTTTAAGATTTGAAGTTTCATTGTGTTTTCTATTTAGCTGCTTTCCTTGATCGTTTTCTATTTAGCTGCTTTTCTAGAGTGCTGGCGGACCATTGATTCGCTTTAAACGTTAGAACTTGTTGGTTCCCCTGTGTTTTACGCACTCCCCATATACAGCGGCGTCTCATTGAGCCGCCTTCGTATATATGTAAAAACTATAGGGCAGCTAAACTACCCAATTTTTTAATATCCAGTAGGTACCTATATCCCATTTACAAAACGTTCTATGAACTTCTTTGCAACCATCACGCAGCTACAAAACTTTGCAATGTTTGTGATATGGTTCCACTCGATGAGCCACCATCCTGGCAAAAGGTTAAAGCCACAACTTTGTGTATTCATGGTTCATTGCGTTCATCACGATAGCTTCAACATTGTCTGCTTTCTTGAAGGGCAGCTCAATAAGCCGCCATCGTAGCAAAAAAGGTAGCGTGCAAATATACAAAACAAATGCATCAACTGTTCATTGCGTTTATCACTATATAGCTTCAACATTTTCTGCTTTCTTGAATGTATGAGAAATGTATAAATAATGTGTAGACTATGTGAAAATAATGTATAAACTGGAAAACAAATTTATACATGTATAAACTGAAAAATATCAACTTATAGATGTATAAAAAATGTATAAAATGTAAAAATTATGTAAGATTATGTATAAGCCATGTATAAATCAGTGTGCAATTCTTGAAAAATCACAAACAACCAAAATGACTTGGCACATTTCTCCAAGGTTTGGTTTAGTTTCGATTGTCAAAGTATTTGTGGGCAGCAATTTTCAGATCAGGTTGCGCATCTAGAAAGTTTCTGGAAACAGGCAATTGGTACCCATTGTGGACGCTGGGCGATCTCCCATGTGGTGGCTGAACTTGCGAGAAGACCTCTGGCTGCGCTTGCACTTGAAAACGAAATGCATTATCGGATCTCTACTTGTGATGTTTGGCGGCTCCCTGATCCGCCCCGCCAACACATATAGCAATATATAGCCTGGGATATATTCACTATTGTTTTCCAATGCTTGGCGGCTCAAAGACTCGCCTGGAAAAGAGTCAGGGCTGCCTTTGTCAATGGAAGATTTGGGCGGCTCCCTGAGCCGCCTTCTGATGTAACAAAATACTAAACAAAACACATGTTTTCAGTTCTGTTTAGAAGTGTTTGGGCGCTCCATGAGCCGCTCACGTGTTTAGAAGTGTGTTTTTTTAGCTAAAGATACCAGTGCGGTGACACACGAACACACCAAACACAACAAACGTAAACCAGTTAAGCAAATACCAAGAATTTGTGCAAACAACAAACACTAATTTTTTGAAAGTTGCTTTTACTTACAAAACATATAAATTTATACTTACAAATAACTTAGACAATTTAGTAATGCAATTTCAACATGCTCAGATTGTAAGTTTTGTAAACTAACGTACAAGTTTTCTATGCGCTGTAACTGCTGTAACTTATTTATAGGCTCCATAACCAAGAAGGAACCACCAAGTAGGCGAAACTGCGATTACGACGGTGTGTGCGCAACCCTCTGCGGAGATCCTGCGTGTCGGACGCGCGAAACCGAGGCGAAACGGCGAAACTGCCGGGGAGTGTGCAACCCTCTGCGGGGATCGTGCGTGTCGGATGCGCGAAACCTACGCGAAACTGCGATTGCGCAACCCTCTGCGGAGATCGTGCGCGTCGGACCTCTGCGTGCGCAACCCTCTGCGGGGATCGTGCGCGTCGGACGCGCGAAACCTAAACGAAACTACGATTGAGCC